GGTGAATACTGTGAAAGGGGTCGAATATGACATACAGTGGGGTCATGGTAGTTTAAAGTCAACTGCAAGTTTATAGACTTTTTGGCGTATGAGTATACATTGCCCAGAGTACACCACTAGGAGGTAAGTGCACCGCCCACTCCGGACATTAAAATATAATAATAGCATTATGAGAAAGTCTTCCAAAATTTGATGTACGGATTCAGGTTGTATGCCTTCAATTTCTTTAATGAGATGTCCCGTTTGATGTCCAAATTTTAGGATTTATCCCATTGTCTCTTTGTCCATTGCGTGCTCGAGGGAATCAGAGCTTATTGGTTGATTGTTTGATTCATTCTTTAAGCTACATTTAGTCCTACACATAGTTGGATGATCTAAGCTTAAATGATGATGATGAGGTCGTTAGAGTTAGTTAAATATTTCATCAGTTGCATTTTTGAATTGAGTTCTAATAAACAAATTCAATCTAACCTAGCAATGAGGTACTAGCCATTTTGGTGGCGCCATAATAGACCTTTTAGCAAAAAATGGCTCTCTGAATGTTCATACTGACGTGCAATTTACTTATATAATACCTTGTATTCTAATTTTCCAAGCTAAGAGGGACATGAAAAAAAGGGGAATTTAAATTCTTTCGAATAAGGAGAAGAGTGCCAAGTGATTACCTCTAAAATGAATAGTTTTAGCTGATTTCGAAATTGTAAATCGCAACTTATGCCAACCAGACACCGTTTGTAGAAGTGAAGATGGGTGTGGAACAACTGGGAGCAGCAAGATGTCGTCAATAAACGAAATTCTTATACCTTAGTTTGCATGTGGGAGATAGTTTTTCTTTGAAACACCTCTTTGCCGCATACGCTTCTCTAATTGCTCCCATTACTCCCCAACTTTTCCGAGGCTCAAATGGAATTTCGGTCTCCTGAGATATATATCTCCATGCCTCATCTTCTGCTTCATACTCCAACTGTAATGTAGCAAGCATTACACACTTACCATTGCTTTGTGGACCGAATTGCTTTAATAATAACCTGGAATTTCATGACATTATGGCGATTGAATTTGGAGGAGTTTCAAAAAAACCTTTCTTGCTTCAAAAAATAGAGGACAAACTTTTCGTAAAATAAGTGATTAGATTGTGCTTGTGTGTATTTAAATAGGGCGTCTCTTAGACATGGTGGTGGTGTTCGTTGTAGTTTCGTTTATTGTAGATTACAAGTGTCTCTTTCCTCTAGGCAAGTGTTCTTGTGCTATTTTTAGAATTGAATTCAAGTTCTTTTGTTCTTTGAGGCCGGAATCTACCGCCTAGCAATCGTGTTGACTTGGGCAAACTTGGTTTCATTTTTTTTCTAATGTTTTAAATTTGCCTTTACAAGGGAAAATGGTTTTTTTGTATGTTAAAAATGCTTCCGATAAACCCAGAACTTATCTAACTGGACATAAAGGCGTCGTCTTCACATTCTTACAGTGCAGAAGTAGAATAGGAAATGGAAGATGCGGTTGAATATCAGGATAAAAGAGATGGAAATTATGAGGTTTGAACTAACTGTGACTCTTGAATGTCAAATACTCAGTTTACATATATATTCTTTTTTCCTTAAGCGCTTTGTTTTTATTAGAATATGCTCAGAAGTGGGTTTTTTTACAGAAATCGTTGTCTAACTTTAATATTGACTAAGGCCATCATACGTCTAAGTAATATTGGAGAGAAGAGTGATTAATTGGTGTATGAAAGAGATAGAAATAAAGACCAAGAAACCTCTAGTACATATTAAAAGGTAAGAGGAAGCGACCAGCATGACCATGTTCCACCATCTCCGTGAGGAGTCTGTTCTAACACGTGACCGCGCGCGCGCGTTTGTACTTGCGTCTCGGATTTCCACGTCCAATGTGTTCTGGCTCTTACATGTTCATGGATTTTAGAGTGGTGATTGTCCCCTTTTACCTCTGAAGAAGTTGCTACTGTTGTATTGAGCCAATTGCAAACTCTGTTATTGTCATCCAAGCAGTTTTTGCCTTTCTATTTCTCTATATTTCGACACTTTGCATATGTTTATTCTTTCATTTTTGAGGCTTGCGAACTGAATTACTCAAGGCGTTCTTTTTTTAGTAGACAATTCACATTCCTTCAGTTTTTTTTGTTTTTCTCGCGCTCATGGAATTCTAGCACAACTAAAAATTGCTGACATGTAAATCATGTCTCAAGGTTTTTTTATTCCTCTCCTTACCTTAATTTTGCAGGGTTGGATAACGTGCTGCAACGTGCTTAGTGATCTCTATGCGATGGGTGTCGCAGATTGTGACAATATGCTACTCCTTATCGGCATTCCTACAAGTATGGAACCAGAGGAGCGCACCACGATCACCTCTCTTATGATGCAAGGTTTCCAGGTATTTTTGCTCAATTTCCTCCTCCTTCTTCTTCCTTCCATTCCCTATTTTGCCTTTGGGGTGCATAACAAGGCCATGTTCTCCTCTTCTGGTTAGTTTAGGGGGGACAACGTTGTAAACCTATTAGATGATCTCTCTTCTTCCTCCCGGAGAGTCAGTGATATTCAGGGATTAAGACGACAGCTATTCTTTTGTACACTTCCTTTAATTGTAAAATCTAGCTGCTTCTTGTTGGGATTTGGTGTAGCAATTTCAGTATTTTTTTTCTTACGGTGGCAGGAAGAATGTGACTACATTTTGAGCAATTGTGCTACAACGTACATTGGTAGAAACCTTGTTTCAAATATTTTTTCTCATGATAAAGCTCTTCTTTGCAAATAATTTGCATGTAGACGACTACAAAGCTTATTTAAAGTTTTATGGGATGCTTTTTCGAGGGTGAAATTGATAATGATCCTTACTGGGTGTCTTTCCGTCCATATGATGTATGGTATGATTGCCTTACTGATGAATGCGCTTAAATCACACTGAGAAATAAGCCGAGTCATTAGTATGTGCAGAGCAAGGAATCAAAGACCAACGATTTTTTTGCGGTCTATTGCTAGACAAAGATATTAAAAATTGATATCGTAGCATATTAGCTTTATTGAAGCACGCCAGACTTTGGCTAGTGTGAAATTAATGAGTCAGTTGTGTGTCGCATTTTCATGATTTGTGTCGTGACTCCAAGTAATCAAACGGTCTTTGAATTGGTGTTGGAAGTAGGTAGTCTAATTGGGTCAAACTGATATTGTGCGTGACATTGTCATGTTAAATTGATTTATGCAGTCAACAGCATTGCGGTATACAATTTTGAAACCAGTTAAGGTCTGAATGATTATTTTTTAGCCTATTCTCATATCTATTTATTTATCTCAAATGGCAGGCGTCTTGATAGTTATCATTAGCCCTTTAGTTGACTTCAGGCTTCACAGAGGGGAAGGAACATCAAA